ATAACAAGTCTGCAATCGCGCTAGCAAAGAATCCTGTTTTCCACGATAGAAGCAAGCACATTGATATGTGTTATCACTACATCAGAGAACGCATCGAAAGAAGGGAGGTACAAGTGCAGTACGTGAAGTCTCAAGACCAAGTTGCAGATATTTTTACCAAGCCACTGAAGAGTGAAGACTTTATTAAAATGAGAAGTTTGCTTGGAGTCACAAAATCAAGTTTAAGAGGGGGTGTTGAAATATAAACTTGTTTTAGTTGTTTAAATAAAGCTTAATTTCTATAAGCTTATTCTAGAATATGTGGTAGGTATGAAATTATTGTGTAGTAGGTGTGGTAGGTGTGGTAGGTGTTGAATTATTGTGTGGTAGGTGTGGAATTATTTGTAACCATTGGATTGTAATTGTGGTGGCACAATCCTAGCCATTAATTTAGGAGGTGCCACTAGTATAAATAGGGGTGGAGTCTTTGAGTTTGTATCAAGCCAAGTAAAGGTGATAAATAAGAGTGAAGCTTCTTCCATAAGTTGTGTTTTTAGCCTTTGTCATTTCCTAAAAGTTTCTTCATTCCAACATATTGCACGCGTAAATACAGAATTTGGGAGCGGCGAAGGGCTTCTAGTGCTATTGCCCTAACATATTTTTCATTTTTTATCAAATTATCAATGATATGATCGTGACACATATACACACATCAGTTCCGTAGTTCATAAATATCATATGAGTGCTAGATTTTGTAAATAGTAATGTTTTTGGTGTTATGTATGTAATTATTTCATAATAATAATAGTAATAATAATAATTACTAAATTAAATAAACAAAAGAAACACAAAGCAAATTTTTGAAAAAAATTAAACCAAAAGTCTTCTTAGACGTTAACTTTTTATTTTTATTTTTTTAGTGGCCGCTAAATTTCGTTTTTTTTTTTGGTAATATGTGCTACGTGGATGACGATTTTATCTATTTTATAAGTTTTTAATCCTTTCGCGTTTGTCCAGCAGTCAATATAAAATCTAGATGGAGAATGGGAGGGAAGAAAGAGGCGTAGAGTAGAGGGAATGGAGGGAATGGAGGAGAGTGGTCTGTTTGAGATGAAAAGAGGGAAGGGAAGGGCGTGGTGGTGGTTGTACGCGGCGTCAATGCAACTGGGGTTGCTCATGATTTGGTTGTACAGGATCTTGCACTTGCCTGAGGCCGGAGAGAAGGGGAGATGGGCGTGGATGGCAATGTTCGCCGCCGAGCTATGGTTCGGCTTCTACTGGATTCTCAATCTCTCCGTTCGTTGGAATCCGATTTACCGCTATACTTTCAAGGATAGGCTCTCACTAAGGTACCTCTCCCTCTCTCTCTCTCTCTCTCACAGTCATCACTTTGGCTTGGCATAGTTGTATTCACTTTTTAAAAGTTAAAATATTATTTTTGAGTGATATGAAAAATTTGAGTGGCATAAGTGTAAAAAATAAAGTTCAGGTGTTAGATATGTAAATACATCGAAATTCGGTGGTATGTACGTTAGTGTCAATGTTTCTTCTGTAGAATATTTGGTCAAACCCGGCATGGAGAGGTTGTGTCGTATTGTATGTCTATAAGATTAAAGTTGAAATTGCATGCTTATTTGTTTATGTATTACCCTTTATCTTGGTCTTCTCTTTGGCAGAAGGCGTGAGAAAATCAGCCAATGTGTCTGCTTAATGAGTGTGTCCGTTTGCGCCAAGGATATTGTTGAGAAAATTAGGGCGAAGAAAAACAATAATCGACACAAATCCAGAAGAACACAGAGATTTAACGAGGTTCGGCAAAGATGCCTACGTCCTCGGGAGCAGAGCGGCGATTCCTTTCAATAATCAGAAAAGTGTTTACAGAATTCCGGAATACCTCCTGAGATTACTAACAAATCTATTTATAACCCCAGGAGTAAACCTAGGCACAATATGTAATTACAACATTACCCCTGTACCATACCGCGGGGCTTTGCCCCCGCACCCCAACCCACGTAACTTCCCAATTTGGACAGATTCTTCCGCTTCGCTCCGCTCCGTCTCGATCCAGCGTCTGTCCCGATATGGTATATGAGCCATACCATAACAAATCTCCACCTTGGCGAATATCCAGCCCCTTAGGAGAAAAAATCCCTGAGAGTTACATCTGCACCACTGTGGGTTGGGCCACCATGCTTCTCTAGCAACTGCAAACATTCAACAAGTCCAAGCAATACAAGAACTTGTTGATAGTAACTGGCTTGGTCAACATATCAGCTGCAATCTCATGAGTATGAACCTTCTGCAACGGTATCTCCCCAGAAGCAATCAACTCTCTGATCTTGTGATACCTGACATCAATGTGCTTGGTTCTCGCATGGTACACCTGGTTCTTAGCCAGATAAATAGCACTCTGACTGTCACAATGCAACTGAACTCCACCTTGCTCAA